AAGTGTCTTATCCTTTTATTCTTTATTGTGATATTGTAATTTTAGTTTTAATTGAAAAACATTTTCGATCAAGATTTCTTCGTGTCTTTTCAATATTAAAATTTTCTCTAAGATTCTATTTTCAAGCACATTTTTCTCATTTATCTCATCTTACTAATTATTTCTTTTATTCTATAATAGTAATATTTAATGGTCTGAGATGCTTTCATTCTAATTAATTTAAACTCTTGTCTTAGATAATGAAGTTTAATATTGCGTATCCATCACTTCCTTGAAACTCCTATTCTATTGTGTTCCTAGATTGCTTTGAACTTGTGATAGTATTTTGAAGTTGTGAAAGAGACAATTGATAGATAAGATAATATGGAGAGTAGTAAAATGGGAAAGTAGTAGTTAAAAAAATGTATTTTGTAGTTGTCTTAGTTGTGTTAGATGTTATCTTAGTGTACATGAGTAGTTATAAACTCATTATTTTAGAAAATACTAACCACAACTTATATAAAATGTTTTTGAAATTTTTACCTATATAAAATGTTTTTGATTTTTTTTCCTATCTTAGATTTTTCTACCATATTTTAGAATTTATATTATATTTCAATAATTTTATCTTAGACTTTTCTATATTATTATAAAATTTGCATTATACTTTAATAAAATCAGTGGACAGAAACATAACGGGTAAAGAATTGCTCAAAGGGATACAGACAGAAGTTAAAAAACTAAAAATCGACAAGATTTTGGCATTGATTACTCAACCATAATGTTGTTTGATGAAATAAAATCATCAGTCCCTTAGTCTTAGTTCTAACCTGCACTCACTAGTAAAAAAGAGGGGTTTGGACGTACTATATACGTTTCGGTTTTATAAAAATCGAAGTGTATAAAAATACGGTAACATTTTCGTAGTTTTAGTAAAAGTATATGTTTCGATTATCCAGAAATCGATGCTGAAAGAAGCATACTGTCTAGGTTCTAAAAACAACTGAGCCAAAAAAAACTCAATTGCCAACATTCAAACAAAACTTTCACCTGACAACCTTTTTGAATTAGGGATACTACCTCAGTTCTGAAAGTAACCGAAGACAGAAAAGATTGCTACCCACCTGCAAAAGACTTTTCACTTGACAGTATGTCTACACTGCACTGTAACTCCTGTTATGTATATCAGATGTTCTCTAACCGAGACAATATGGTGTTTATCCTTCTTCAGTTGTTGTGAAGGTAACTAAGACATATAGTAATTAACAATTGTTTTTTTAATTTCTGGAAGGTTTACTTCTCGATTTGTTTTTTGACCGAAGTAACAAGTTATTGCTTCGGGCAATATCCTGTTTAAATTCCAGAAATCGCGTTTCGCTGTTTACATAACACAAACATAAAAGTTGTGAAGACTTCTACCCACAGTCATACTAATTGTAGGAATTTACTATCCCCGTAACCTTCTAATACCAGAGACTTCATCACTTAGAAAGCACGTTTACCTGTAATTCCAAAACTTCTCATTGTTTCCATTGTTTAGGTCAATGAACTGTCTTAACATCCTAACCATCTCACAATCTGCCCTTCCAATTTTTAAACAAATAAGCACTATAACTACTTCCAATGAACTAAAAGACTTGTTTAGATAATTTTATTTTATCAATACCTATAAAAGATGAAAAATAAGAAACATTAATAAAATAAGTTTTTTAACAATTACTTTAATGCTAAGCTATTTATACTTTTAACCATGCACGTGTTTGATAAATTTGAACAGGCGTGAGTAAAAATTCATATCACCAAACAAATATGAAATAAATTTAAACATATAATTGGATTATATAAACGAGTGAGTAACGTTGAATAAATAAATTGGAGTAAAATAGATAATTAATTAAATAAAATCTAGAATTATATCCGTTCAGAGCTAAGGTTTTGCAATAAAATATCTTTGTCATTTTGTTTTGTTACTTTTTATTAATCATATAAAATTCCAAAAAACATTAAGAAAAAGAAAACGAAATAAAAAAAAATCGTACATGTTCACATCCAACACGTTCTAAACATTGGCTGAGTTGTGTCCACAAATCTAAATATCGCTTATAACTTTCATATATTTTGTACGACTTAAGAATAATGACATAAACATCAATTTGTTAACATCCAAACACGTTCTCCATATAGGGCGAGTTGTGTCCACAAATATTCACCCAAGAACTTAATTTAGAATATCTTAATTGAAGAAGAAGCTACATTTTTTTTTGAAGAAGCTACATTTAAAATGTTTTTTTAGCTTACTCTTAAATAATATAGAATTATCGAATATACCAAAAACATGACAAGCTAGAAATATTGTCAAAGTTACGAAGTAAATAACACCGGGACCAACACATGCAATAATTTGGAAATGAGAAAAACAAAATGCAATACTTGTAAAAATACAACCTACGATTCAAATTCTTGTGGCTATAAACATCCACGTGTAATAAATAAGAATAGCTCCACAAATAAAATCTCATAAAAGACAGAAAAACGAGATACATTGATTTTTGTTTTTTTTTCATGAGATCATTGTATACTGTTTCTCTACCATTCAAAATTCAATGAAAAGAAGATAAGGTTTGGGATATTTTTGGGTATAAATAGTGGTAGAACAGAGAGAGTGATAAAGAGAAGAGAAATATGGCAACAGCAAAAGTAACTGCCGGTGGCATCACCGATGTGCCTGGAGCTGCCAACAGCGTGGAGATCGAAGAACTGGCTCGCTTCGCCGTTGACAATTACAACAAAAAGCAGAACGCACTTTTGGAGCTTGTGACAGTGATAAGTGCAAAGCAGCAGGTGGTGAGTGGGGTGTTGTATTACATAACCTTGGAGGCCAAAGATGGCGAAAGCAAAAAGGTGTACGAAACCAAAGTGTGGGTGAGAGAATGGTTGAACTCTAAGGAGGTGCTGGAATTCAACATCGTCGACGATTCGACCAGAGAAGTAACAGGAGGTGGAGTCAGCGATGTTCCTCCCGACACCCCTCACATCGAGGGTCTCGCTCGCTTTGCCGTTGATCAATACAACAAAAACGAGGTTCTCTTTTATTATGTTATTCTTCCTTTTCTTCATTTCACTAGGAACCATTATTCCATGATTGATTTTGTTGATGACGCAGAATGCAAATTTGGAGTTTGTGAGGGTGATTGATGCAAAGAAACAGGTAGTGGAAGGGTTCTTATACTACATAACTTTGGAAGCAAAAGATGGTGAGAGTAAAAATGTGTATGAAGCGAAGGTGTGGGAGAGGTCATGGGTGAACTCCACTGAATTGGTCGAATTCAAGCCTGTCAATGGTGCTCTTTAATCCTCTTTCGTTCTCAGAATACCACTTTTCAAGACTACTTTACCATGCGTGTATGCTATAAATAAATGTAATTCGTGTTACGTACCCACCATGTATTCCCACTATAAATAAACGTTATCATATAATTATAACTAATGTTTGCTATGATGAACCCTTAGATAATTCTCGCAACATTACTCTTACTAATCCCTAACAATGTTTTTATCATGAATCTGAAACTAATCTCTCACAGAACAATCTGCTTTCTAATCACTAGCAAATAGTGGACTCTATTTTCTAGCAAATTTGTTGTTAATCGATTGTTATTTTTGCATTCACAAGGGGGTGTACTGCACTCCAGAGATCACTTGAGATTTTCAGAAAATGATTCCTACTATATACCAAAGACATATCAATCATGATTACAGTTCTTAGTCTACACTGGAATGCATGAATGAATATTTGATCACTAGCGTAAATCATTTGTTAGAAGTCTCACATTAGAGATTATTTAAAGTATATATATATAAAAATAAAATAAGAAACCACAAATCTAGTTTTTAAATATTAGTGTTGGCCATATTATAATGCTACTAGAGTTTTGTTTGTCTTAGTATTGACAGATAAAAAAAAAACCTTTGAGTAGTATTTAATTCCTCGGACTTCTAATCATAAACTTGCTTAAAAGAGATCTTGGTTTGTATCAAGTAAACAAAAACAAAAGAATATTAAAACATAATAAATTACTATAATATCTTTATTTATATTTATCATAATAAAATAAATTAAAATAATATTTTTTTTAATGAATTGTCTTACTTATTAATATTTTGTTTTTATAATTTATTTATATATTTATTGAAATATAATAAAAGTGATTTGAGTTTTATTTATTTTTGTATAGTATTAAAATAAAAATATTTATCTAATTTTACAAACAGTATTACAAAAATAATAGTTAAAAATTAAAATATTAATATATTGAGAAACAAATAAATAAAATAATCTTACTATTCAAACATTATTATACAATTTTTACTATATTTAAAAAGATAATAAAGTGAAATAATTATAATAAAAATCTTATAATATTTTATCATTTGTTGTTCTGAAAAATAATGAAAAAGCAGAGGAGACTGGTCAGCTATCTATGTCTTACGAACGTCAACCACCTCCCTCTTTAAGTAGTTAGGGGGCTGTTATCCCTCTTAGCGAGTATGGTCCCTACTATGCCTCCCGGTTCACTTACTGTACTGAAAAAATGGTTACAGTTACAGCTACTAATATTCCAACATGTAATACTAAAAATGCTATCTATTTTAACAATATTCTTTTCATGAAAAAAGATTAAACAAAAACAAATCAGAAAGAATGATAAGTTTCAAATAAAGTAAAGACCTCATATGTATTAAAATATACATGTGATACAGAATTTTTTAGGTGATTTACAATTTTTTTATTCTTTCAATTATTTAAATTATTCATACCTATTAAATTCATCTCAATGTTTTCTATTCTATATAATATTTCCACCATTGATGTTTATAAGATATATCAATAAGTAAAAAAGTATATGTTAAAATTATTCATTAAAATTATTCAATAATTAATGTTGTAATTATTATTAAATATTAATAAATATAACTTTTACTTTGTATAATTCACTAACATTTATATAATTATTATTTAATTATGATGTTAAGCTTTATACAAATTGTCGATAGTATTTTATTAATTTATAACGTTGTATATTTTTTCTATTTTAAAGTTTTATAAATTTCAATTAAAAATTTATATTTTTATATTATTTTTAAAGAAATATTTTTTCTAAACAAAATTTTTATATTTCTGTAATTTTAAATATTTGTTGCTATATTTTTTAATATAAAAAATTATATTTAAAAAAATAAAACTATGTAAAATTCGGTCTGTACCAGTAATTTGCGTACGGATTTGATGATAAATACATACAGGTAGGGGTTACCGAGTTGGTGGATTTGATAATAAATATATACAGGTAGGGGTTAACAACACGGTAGCTTAACAAACACGTTTCTAACAAACACGTTTCTATGATGATAAAATAGAAAATTGATACCTAAAAGTGATTTTAATAAATGAGTATAAATTTTTACATCTCTATACGTATAATTCAAAAGATGTAAAAGTACAATTATTATTATGAGAAACACCTTCCACCAAACTTAATTTGCTGACAGGAAAGTATGTATCATTTTGAATATTTTTCTTTTAAATACTGAATGAAGAATCAAAATATAATATTTTTTGTTCAAAATTAATAATTATTTAATCTAAAAAAGGTTGTCCCTTAATTATGAAAGTAATATTTTATTAATAAGTAAAACAATTTCTATTCTCCGACATAAGAAAATATTTTAATTACAAA